AATGTAATTTTCTCGCTCGAAACAAAATTTCTTTTCTTTCCAAAAATTGGTATTGTGGTTTATCCTCCTCCGGCTAATTGCCATATAGAGACCACATTACCAAGGCCCGCAAAGACAGGTTTGGCTCCCCAAGGAGCGTCATAACCCACTCTACGGACCATGAGTAAAGTGAGTTTAGGAAGAACGAAGATATGTTAGAGTGAAAGACAGAAGTAGTCGTGTTAGAAAGATAGCATAGAGAAAGCGGACAGGATTGCACTCGATGTTAGGAGGTGCAATAGATTGAAATAGGTTCTTTCCAAAAATTTAATTATTAACTTGAATTAAACTCATCTAACAAAGTTTTACATCCATTTATATAATATATCTACCCACAAAATCAACATTACAAAAACCGCTTAATACATAACTACAATTAAAATAATTAAAAACTATTAGTAAAAGAACCACGTATTTGCCGTAGTATGTTCCTGAACTTTCTCCACTTTATTTACAAATAAAACAGAAAATCGTAAAACTTATTTAAAATAAATACTTTTGAATGAGTTAACATTTGTAAATTAATTTGAGTGAGTTTAAATTTGCAAATTTGCGAAACAATATTATTCTTGTTGTTTTTGCGGTGATTTAACAGTTTGTTTTCCCAAAAGATAAAATTTCCATAATGGTAGCTATAAAAATCCGGTTTGTCACGTGACCTCCAAGAATATTGTCAGTTCAATTCTTATTTTTTATCAAAATAATTTTTAACTTACTTCAATCCGCTTTTATTTCCTTTATTATTCCTCTTTCCTAAAGCATTTTCCCATTCATACCTTTTTGTACCATTAAAAAGACGCTCCCGTCATTGCGACCTCGCTGCATAATTTCTGGTTAATATTTGCAAACAAAACTCTGACCGGAAAAAAATGCTGTCTTTTTTTTAACTGTTAAGCTTGATTTGGGAAGAGTGGGACACCAAGAAACATTGCTTTAATGGAGGCACCCTGAGAGTTTTAACAACCACAGATCTAATGATATCATTAAATATTATTAGGCCTGTGAGAGGTTAAATTAGATATTTTTTTTTATGACAAGGTAACTTATTAGTTTTTAAAGTTGCTAAGTTTTAAGGTATATTATTCAATAAGACTATCGGTAAGTAACATTATTTTGTAAACTAAAAGGTGATCCTACCATAAAGCAGGGTGTTATTTTTGCGTCACACCTCAACATTAAATTTTTTGCCTAACTTAATTTGATATTTCTTTGTTTCAGTGTTTCAAAAATTCAACCATGGTGAGGTGCACAATTTAGCTGCGCGTTAAGATTGTTAAACCATTTACGAAAATGGGCGTTTAAATCAAAATGCATTTTGTACATTTCGTGATTTTTTTGGTGAGCATAATCGACCAATTGTGTCCACAATCGGTAAAACTGTGCTAAAATTTCAGCAAACCGGATCTGTAGAAAATGTGAATTCACCTGAGCATTCTTGCCCAGTTCGTTTTGTAGAATACACTGATCTTGTTTGCGATAATGTGACAGAAAAGCCTTGAACCTCGATTTGTTATATATATCCAACAGTTATCGTGAATGATGCTTGCTATCGCTAAATGATAATGGACTTCTTGCGGTTAGAAATTGAAAATATGAACCTGGAAGATATGTGGTTTTAATAGGATAGTGCCACTACCATACAGCCAACAAAAAAATTGCTCTTTTGGGCGAGAAATTCAATTGCCGTTTATCTCAAGCCATGGCGATGTTAATCGGCTGCCACGATTGATTTAACACCGTTGGACTTTTTTCTTTGGAGATATTTAAAAGAAAAAATGTACATCAATGAGCCAAGAACAATTTAAAAGATAAAGAATGAGATGATTCGACACATTAACGATATTGAAACTCAATTATGTCTCAGACTAATTGAAAATATGGACCATATTTTCAATGAGTCTGAGGTCGGTTCCGTCCGGAATTACAATATTTCAGGCCGGAATGTCGGAATTTATTTTATGCTTTTTTTTTAAGATTTGTGACACAGGTTGTGTAAATTAAATCAAAAAATCATCGTCGTATAGGGCAAAGAAGCCGTGGGCAGTGGTAGCGCACTTGCCTCAGAAACAAAGGATCCGTAGTTAAAACCCCACCTCTGGGCGACAACGGTTGGGAAGGAGGCGTATCCTATATAAATGTTCATCCGCAGTGCTCTGTAATAAGACCGTAAGGACTTCTTGGAGCAACTAAATAAAAAAAAAAAAAAGAACTAATGGTAAACCTAAGGAAAAGCTACAAAAATTCTTAACAAACACAATGTAATTTTAGGTAAAGCTACAGTTAAGCGGTCTAAATAGTTTTTTTTTTTGCTTGTTACGCTCTCGTCTATGGAGGCTTTTTAAACATTAGGAGTTTTAATTAAAATAATAAAATAAAAAAGATTGCTACCCCATGCCAAACCCTTAGTCAATGTAGCAGTACTTCTTTGTAGCAGCAAGCTATAAGATAATCGATGTAGCAGCACTCTCTTTTTTGCAGCAGGCTATAAGGTAGTCGATGCATGTGCTAAAGTAATAATAATTCCTTATGTTTATATTAAAAAGTCACAGATTTGAGCAAGTCTACACAATTAGGTACAACAAGCTTGAATATAAAATTACTTTAGACCGCTTAACTACAAATTTGCCTAATTTAACAAAAATTTTTAATGCATTTATTTTCAAAATGACGCATGAACATATTGAAAAAAACAGAACCAGGTGGAGAACCTTGTTTGAAGTCTTGCTTTCCACCATTTTCACAAATACATTTGGACCCAGTGGAGGAAATCTTTTGTGTCATTTATATATGGACAGTTTTGGAATGAAGGTCTGTTAGCTGAACACTATTCAATGATGCCAAGCTTATTCAAAAAAGAAGAAGGTTCTGTACTGGCACCTGTTCTTGCCAATATATTCATGGGTCATTTTGAAAATAAATGCATTAAAAATTTCAAAGATGTAAAACCAGTTTTCTACAAAAGATACGTTGATGACATTTGTGCTGCTTTCCAGTTTCATACAGAGTCAATCTAGGGAAATGCTTAATCGATAGAATGTTTAAAATTAATAGTACTAAACTTGGGTTTCACTTTGACATAAACAACCTCTTTAAAGTATTTAAAAAAAACATGTACCCATCTTGGCTCATTTCAAAAATATATAGCTCTTATTTAAACAAGATTAATCATCCACCACAACCAAAAATCAAAGAATCTTTGTCTTATTTTAAACTGCCGTTTATGGGAAAAATATCCGCTTCAACTAAAAAGGACGGAATTTAATTGCTAAGGGATATTGCCTTCAGCAAATATAAAGTTAGTATTTGCCTCACTGTTAATTTCTAAACTCTTTTCTTCTAAAGATCCTATTCCTCTAAAGTTCAAATAGTTCGTGATATATAAATTCGTATGCGCAGGATGAAACTCCTGTTATATAGGCGAAACTACTCGCCATCTTAAAACCTGAATATCTGAACATCACAAGAGGGATAAAAAGTCTCATATCTATAAACATCTCCATGCTAATAAAAATTGTTTCATGCAAATAAGTTATAAGTGTTTTTATGTTTTAGATTCAGCATCTAACAAATTCGAGTTAAAACCTAAAGTTCATAAAATGGTTAAAACCTGGTATGAGTAAAAAGTTAACCACGTACAAATTACACTTTCTGTTTAGCTACTATTTTTTACACATATAAAAGTATGTATATGTATATATAAATATATATATATATATATATATATATATATATATATATATATATATATATATCTATATATATATCTATATCTCTATATATATATCTCTATATATATATATCTCTATATATATATATATATATATATATCTCTCTCTCTCTCTCATTTTTTACACATATAAAAGTATGTATATGTATATATAAATATACATACATATATATATATATATATATATATATATATATATATACATATATATATATATATATATATATATATATATATATATATATATATATATATATATATATATATATATATATATATATATATATATATCTATATATCTATATATATATATATATATCTAAATCTATATATATATATATATATACATACATATCTACATAAATATATATTTATATATCTATATATATACATATATATATATACATATATATATATATATATATATATCGTTATTTTGTTGTTCGAGTCAGCTTAATCCAAACACATTTCCACAAGTTTGAATCGTTTCACAATCATTATTATTTCAAAAATATACACAGAATTTAATTATATATCAGAAAAAAATTAAAATGGGTGGTTATTTTACCATAAGATTTTCAGGCCAATACTTTGTAAATAGCAAGCAAAATTATGACCCCGTATTCCGGTACTCCTTGCATATACTTTAAAAAAATATGCATGATTTATTTACGCATTTACTTTTAAATTATTTAAAAATGTTACTGATGGTTATAGAGTTTAATTTGTTTTTCCTACAATAATGTAATGGTATAAAACTCGGTATTATACTGTTATCACATTTGGGGTTAAAGGACACAAGTTTTTAGTTTTTTTGTTCCAAAGTTCCAATCACCAGAACAATTTTTCCGAAGCCTTCTCACTTAATAAAAGAATAAACGTATCGTAGTTTGAAGTTCGTACTATACCTGAGAGTTAGATATCTCAAACTCCAAAATTGGCCGCAACCGCATCGACTGATGCAATGGTAGGGAAGATGAAATATAATCAAGTCTTTATTGTTTGATTTTAGTTTCTCATGGTTACGCATAATTATTAATGAAAACACTCAAGCTTTTTGACGACTAAACATTTTTATATGTACTTGCTTTCAACTGTAACCCAATTAATTTTGATATTCTCAATTGGTTTTGTTTTCAATACAGATTATCGATAATGGAAGAAGTCACAATGGAGTATTATTTAGATTCCAAGTGTTTAATCCCTGGTTTTTAAGAGATATAAACAAGTAGCGGTAACCAATAAAATAATTAAAATTTAAAAAAACTTTCGGTGTTTTTCATTAATACAATCATTAAACATGTGCTAAAAAAAGTTACACAAAATTAAAGTGTTTCTTGAAATGTTAAAAAAAACAACAAACAAACAAACATTTTACGCGATGTTAGTTTATGTTGCAAAGCGTAACGTGTTTTAAAAACCTTACGTAAAACAATAAAGGCATCATGTTACGTATACGTAGGGTTGCTGATAGAGATATTTTCAAATAAAAAAATTTTTTTTATTAAAAATGCAGAATAGTAACAGAGACTGGCCTAAAATTATTGTTGATATTATTACAAAAAAAAAAAAAATTTTTTACTTTGATTTGCTTTTTGCGGAGGAGGAGATGTTTTAACATTTACCAACAAATGTTACAAAATATTTAATTAATCCTTAATAGTTTCAGAAAACTTTGAAACTCGAAGAGGAAGGATGACAAACGAGAAAAGATGAAAATTATGTTAAAACCATTACTTATTAAATATGTTAAGTTAAAATCTTATATATTTATATTCAGCAAAACAGAAATAAAAATTGAAAATGTTTATAATTTACTATTATATATTATTACTATTAATTACAAATCTATCAGTAACCTGAGATATGTAATTTATAACTTTAACATGTTCCATTTAAAGAATCTCAAAGCTTAATTTTTAAATTTAAATTTTTTCGAAAAAATATGAGTAAATTAAATCCATTTACTCACATAAACCTATTTTTGAGGCAAAAAGTAGATTGCCCCGAAAATGCGTCTCCTCTCCGGGATTATCCCAGTCATTACGAGAGACGGTTAGGAACTCTACATATACGTAACACAACGTGCTAAGCAATTGCCACACCGCATTTTATTTTATATTAAAATTATTTCATCCAATCATTTATTAGCTTCTACGAACTTCATTCAATCATTTTTTAGCTTGTAAGAATTTACGTTTATACAAAATATGTAAGCAATCAATAAATTTTTCTTCCATTTTGTTCATGTTTTTGTCGTCTTCTTGTTCTATAACAATTTCATAAGGAACTTCATAGGCGAACCAGGTCATGCTGTAAATTTCTGACAAATGCAACGAGTCTTGCCTCGATGGTACATTAGGATAATCAAAGTTGTCAGATCTTTGTTGTGCAACATCCAACCCTAACGGCAGCAAGTTTGTTGAGTAATTTTTTGTATTCAATCCAAACCATGCTGAAATAAATAATAAAACATAGGATAAAATATTTACGTAGATGCGCGCTGTAAGCTTTGTCTGGACACTTTAATGAATATAATAATATAGAAATACTTAGATTTTGTTAAAATTTTTTTTTAAATATTACTAAAAAAATAACAAACTTTCTTTGTCTTAATTATTTTAAGACAAAGAAAGGTTTCGAGTAATCACTTCTGTGAGAATTTGTAAGCACTGAGAACACTTTAGTTGTGTAACACTTTTAAAGGTAAAGGTACCAAGAAGTCCGAGGTTCGACGTCAGCACCAGCTTCTTTGTTTGAAAAATAAAATTTTTTGTATTCGTGAACAAAGCAATTAGTTTATAATTAGCTTAAATTTGTAAATTTATTAAAAGCTAGAAAAAAGAAAATAGCTCTAAATATATGCTAGCTTTAAAAAGAAGTTGACTCTAAAAAGAAGCTAGCTCTAAAAATGAGATAACTTAAAAAATCAACATAAATGCTTTGGAGCAGTGGCGTCACTAGGAAGGTGCGGGCCGTACCGGGTAACATCATCACGACCTGATACAGAGGTATGTCACCAAAACGAAAAAAATGCAAATTTGACATAACTGCTCATGCTGGTGTTAATTTATTTTTGCGGTTGACTCCCCTAATAACTTTGCTATTTCTTCATTTAACACAAAAATCGTCATTCAAGATTAAAAGATTGTTTTTTACAAAAGATTGTTTTTCGGATGTCTTTCACAAAAATAGAAGAAACTATATTGTTTAGTTGATTCTCTGATTAGCTATAATGTTATCACACTTTATTTTTTTGGGTTTGTTTATTATAAAACTAACTACTTTTGATTTTTAATTTTCTTCAAGAACTCAAGTGTTTTATTAAATTGATCTTCAAGTGTTGTAAGCCCCGATATTGTCTTTAAAAGTGTCTTCAAGATGCTAAGGAACAATTAACGTTCGTTAGCTCATTAAAAGACTTTGTTCTACAAGCTAAAATTGATACTGATTCAATAAATACTATCAATGTACATTTTTCAATAAAGCTAATAGAGCCGAAAGTGGAAGAGATTGATACAGAAACACAGGAAATAGCAGTAGATAAATATGAAAAAGAAGTTGATGTTAAAAATGATTCTTGCTATGATACTATAAATGTGACAATGAATCAAGTAAATAAAAAATATTGGAATATTTTATTTGATGCTAATTTCTGGACCATGTTAGATCATTTTCCGGTATTGGTTCAGTCAGTATTTTGTCCAGGCAAGGTGCAAAAGCTAAAGGAAACGTGCACCAACTGTCAAAAGAATGGTTCTGCAAAACGATGCCAAATAGTGAGAAAATACTCGCTCCTCAGTGAGAAGCCATACTGCTTTTGCTGCAGATTCTTTACTGTTAATATAACAGAAAAAACATGTAAATTTGTTAATAGGTTTCAGAAGTGGTGGAAGATGAACCCAATATTATTTAATCATGAAATATCGGATGACCATCTATGTAGCCTTGAAAAATGGAAAACAGGGCATTGGCTGTGCAGAACAATTGATGCCGAAAGTATTGCTGTGATCGAAAGGGAGAGAAAAAAATGGAGGGATATTTTGCACAGGTTGCTAGATATCACTTTGTTTCTCGCTAAACAAAATCTGGCATTTTTTGACCATAAGGAAGATGAATTTTCATTAAATAAAAGAAACGCTATTGAGATGGTTAAGCTTTCTAAATACGAACCTGTGTTGAAAGAACACCTAACAAGATTAAAGTAAACTTCAGATACAGAAAAAGCATCCGTGTCTTATATTTCACAAGAAACTCAGAATGAATTTATAAATGTCCTGGTAAATCATGTGAAGAAGATTTTTGTAAAAAAATAAAGGCTGCGAGGTATTTTGGAGTTATGTTTGACAGCACACCTGTCATATAACACACCGACCAGCTGTTTGAGATCATCATATTTGCAAAAATCTAAAATCGGAAAGTTGAAGTGAGAGAAGTAGAGTTTCCACGGTTTTCAATACCAGTATTGAAAACCGGTATTCTACTAAATTTTTCCAATACCGAAACCGTTTCCCAATACCGGTTTTTTACGGTTTTTTTAATTTTAATAATTTGAACTTAATATAGATAGCAATTTGCACTAATGTAGTTTTTGTATTTAAATTTTGTAAATGAATGACACAAAATAGAAGTTATTTTGTATTGCTGTTTGCAAACCATAAGTTTTTTTTATTAATTAGTTACTTTATGGTATTGTAATTATTGCAACACTACGATTCCTCATGAACAATTTGTATAATTATTTGTATAATAGGGAATGGAACAATAAAAGGATATTGAGCTCATTTTGTAAGAAGAAAAAAATAAGGTCATGCTGGAGAGTATTGATTGTTTTCATTCTGAACTCTAGACCAGGTCAAGAGCAATAGGAAGGAAGTAGCAAATTTGTTTAAAGTTGTTCAAACTAAGAGTTTTCTATAAGCAACCGAAAAAGAACTGCTGGCGTTCCAAAATTGACCACTTTCAATGAGGAATTATCTGAAGTTGAGGTTTTAATAGAAATAGCAAAAATGAAAAGGCACATGAGGCAAAAATTGATCCTCACAAAGCCGAAAACTGGTCAGCATTTGATGATTTAAAGTTCATCATTGATTAGGACTTCTTTGAGTCTCTCCCAATACTCGGCTGCAACTATTTATTACAATTTGTGTGTGGCTTCATTTAAGAGGAACTTTTAAAAACTTTTAAAGAACATTTTGCAATCAACCATGGGACAGTCAAGGCCTTCTAATCTGGCTCTTGCTGATTTATTTTTTCTTATGTCCTTATTAACTTTCTTACTTATTTTACAAACATTTTATAAACAATTATATATGGTCTATAGTATAGGAACGCTCGGAAAGGGTTTAAAGTGATTAGTGAAAGTCTAGAGGGTGACACCAAAGGTTTACTGCACTGGAAACACCAACCCTAGTGAAGGCACTGCTTTGGAGTTCTTGACATATAAAGTGTAAAACGTATAAAATACTTAATAGATATTAATTTACAAGATGGTAAATCATATTTTAGAGAACAAAACTATATAAAATACTTTTGATTCCCAATGGGAACACATTATTTATTACTACTAATTATTCTAATTATTCAACTGATAAAAGATGTTAAATCTGTTTAAAGAATAAATCTGTTTCTTTTTACCATTTTAAGTTTAAATTTTTCATAAACAAATTATTTAAGTGATGAATTATTGAAAATTGTGATGACTTTTGAAATAGCAAAAAGCAACAATGACCACCTTATCTAAAAAATATATGAAAAAAAATGTGTTAACTGAATTTGAAAAATAAACAATTGGTTAAATAATTTAAAGTGTCATCTGATTTGGATAATAAAATAATGATTTAATAAAATCCTTTTTAAGCGTATAGAAACTTTGAAAATAGACTCAGGTAATATAAGTTTTTAAAATTAGGTAAAACAAAATAAATCTTGAAATATTTCTTAAAACCTGTTAAACTCAGTGCATTTCTTAAAACCTCTTAAACTCAGTCTTAAAACTTAAAACTTTTTGTCAAAATTTAACAATTTTTTTAGAAAAGAATATTTATATCATATCTATTTCATCTACATGCTTTTGAAATTGTCGAAGAGACAATTTAATGTTAATGAAACAAATTTTAATGCTGATGAAACAAATTTTAATGTTGATGAAACAAATTTTAATGTTGATGAAATAAATTTTAATTTTGTTGAAACAAATTTTGATGTTTATGAAACATATTTTGATGTTGATGA